CCTTAAAAGTATAAAAGTTCTTACCTGAACATAGCAGCTGTAGTAGAAGAGTTACTGTTGACATGATCAAGGTTATTTCGTCCTAGAATGAAAAAAGGATCATCATCATCATCATCATCATCATCAACATCATCATCATCTCCCATATGACTTGAATGTTAAAACAAATTTCTGCAATTATCTTGCCTTCCTTTTTCGTTGATTTAAATTGGTCCGCCCAATATATAGTCAGTGAGACACAGAATAAGGGAAATCACCACTTCGTCCCAAGTACCCGCAATACTAAATTAACTATTGTGATTCATATTCTCTGGAAGCGTAAACTTTGCATGGGAGATCTCTTGTATATAGGTACTATGACTCTATGTCAAAGATTGTGTCATGAAGCGAAGTAACCCTATAACTTATCAGTTGTAATCAACCCAAAGCTTCCGTATTGTTTTCCAAGAAGGGAAACCCCCTGAGACTCCCGTCGAGCCACTTGTCCCTGAGATACAACGAAGGGTGTTTGGAAGCTGCTGCAGGAGTGACCAAACAAAGACAAATGTTGACTGCAAGTGTCGGCAGGAATTATAAGTTAAGTCATCACAAGGTAATTAAGTTGAGTACGGAGTCGTGTGAACCATCTAATTAATGTCCATTTAACCAATACTTTTCACGACCATATCACGTTCTACACGAACTACTCTACGATATGAAAAATATATAGTTCAGAGAACTAGTATATTTGCCCTCAAAATAGCTCAACCTACTAGTACACGTGTACAAAATTGATGCACCCCCCACCCCACCCCACCACTCCCCCTAAAATCATCACGCACACTAACACTAACCCACACACCACCACCACCTTTGTGGCCCAAGGTATGTCCCTTTAAAGATCGATAAGTTGGTAGAGCTTGATAACACTGTTTACTTAAGGTTTGTATCGTGCATGTTACACAGACAGGGTTCGTGCATGCATATAAGTACTAGTAATCGTAACTTCGTCAGTGACATGAATCTTTGTAAGTTTAATTTGTCCGGGTACCAATCAATATCTGGCATTATTCACCCAGGATATACACAGCGTACGAGGTAGATATGCAGACGAAATATATTTGATTTCCAATGAAACAACTATCAATCACGAGGTAGGTATTCAGTGTAAATATTTTTGGGAATACATTCCATGCACGTTAAGATTCCAAAATGCTGTACAGATATGTGCGTGTGTTTAAATAATGTCCAAGTAATCACAGAGGGAACACAAAGATTCACAAGCCTGTGATGAACAGCATGATCACCGATCTCCGCAATTAAATACACAATGTCATTTAAAAAGTGGTCAAATGTATCCCATGTCATATTTTATACACAACAGCATAGGCATCGGTCAATCGGGATACGATGACATATGTCACCCAAGTCAGCGAGCCTGACTACCCGATCCCGTTTGTCGCCTCTTACGACAAGCATGGGTTGATGGAGACCAATTCTAACCCGGATCTTCACAGGTCGAGGATACAAAGAAGCGGTCTTAAATAATATAGAGTAAATAAATAAAAGTATAAATAGTGCGTGACTAAGATTTATGCTTCCGTCTATATCCTACTGCCTATTTAAATGTCTACAAATACTGTTGAATGACATTCATTTGATGACATGTTGTCTGTACTGACAATGAACACTGTACACAATTATGACGTTATTCTCAACACTCGACTATTATCCTGAACTTGTCACACAGTTACAAGGCATATCTGCTGGTAGTCGATAGACGTCCATCCACACAACCATGGCTGCAGACTTCATACTGTCATAGGCACAGTCCTGGGTGTCCTTGTCGAAATACCTCTAGCTCTACGGCTGCCGTAAGTGTATGTTACTAGTGTAGTCCTAGGGTTACAAAAGTACCTTACCTATCTCACAAATATACCAAAACAGCTCGTAACAAATATATGTAGTTATGTATTTGACTAATACGCATCATGTACCTGTGATGGTGCGTTCAAATCCCCACGTGGACAGTATGTTCTAACACTATCTTAACGTTCGTGATGACTTATTTCGCAGGTCATTTCATCGCATCTAGTGGAATCATAGCGACGTATTTCAGAAAGACATAGAATCTGCTTGTTCCAGTCAAAGCGGGCCACTGGTAGCCAGTCTGTATTATGAAGCCTGGGTTGATATAACCACATGCTTACATGCTTTCGTCAACGTGGTCATGTGTTCCTTGTTGAGACTTTCACCTCTCCTCCCCTCTGTCACTAACACGTTGAAATATAACTGGTGTTGAAACATCTTAATATTAATGTGCAAGAAGGATTTATCCCGAATATGAATAAATGAATACTAAAATGACTGTGAGCATAGTCCAAATTTAACTACAAAATATATTTTCACAATGAGTACTGACGATATCACTAAACACAAGGCTGTGTAAACTGTTGTGAAATCGGGCAATACTTCCTGGACCTACATATGCGTTACTTCGTGTCACCATCAGCTCAGCAATCTCGTCATTTCATAGCTCCGTGTAATGAAGGGGAAACAACTCAAACGTCTTAGTGACATGTGTGTGTTGTATACAACATGTATTTCACAGACGGACATGATATGAATGATTGTTATATAACGAAATGGTTCCCTTCTATCATTTCACTCCGATGTTGATATATAGGTGTTCGGGTTATCGTTGTTCATGACTCCTCTACAGTAGAAAACATTTTGATGAAACTATTGTAAAACTAAAAAAAACACACTAACAACTAGGTGCAAAACATTCATTGCATAACATTGTTACCTTGTGTTTTGTGTTCTTTTTAACCAACACAAAATATATTCTCGCAATTTTAAAATGTTTCAAATGAGCACTTTTATGGATTGATTTGATTTCCATATGTTTATTCATTGTTATTATTTGTTGTAGAAGCATCATAAATGACTACAACTGGTCACATAGAGTCAGGTTATCCGGCGTGAAACACACCTACATATATTTATTATACTGGTCACTGACAAACCATGCCTCCATAAAACCTGACACCGTTTAAGGATTCTGTTCGTACTTTACACCATTACAAATGTATGGACCAGTTTGGCACCAACATATGGGTTTATAATGGGGACGAGTATTTCTTCCAAGGGTACGTCATGATATTGTCTTGTATTTACAGTTCGTTAAATCTGCTACGTCTGAGGCGTGAAAGTTTTACAAACACGTTTATCCCATCACAAAAGAAACACCCTATTTGTTATCATGTCGCCTCGGATCAAAGACACACATTAACTTGAAATACAAGGGAATTAACTCAGTGACGACCATTAACGTGTTTCACTTGCCTGTATTTCTACTCACTGACAAATATGTAGTGTTGTCAATTACCGACACGAGGTACATATCCCTTAAAGTTCTGAGCTGCAATACAAGGGAAATAACTCTGTTTCACTTGCCTGTATTTCTACTCACTGACTGACATGTAGTGTTGTCAATTACCGACTCCAGTTACATATACCTTAATGGGATTCAATGCAACCGGCAGAAGACCATTCAGGCAGGTTGTCCATCGTGTATATATCAGGGAGAATGACTGGCTACAATGAGGTAACGGTATCCAAAGGGAACTTTTGTGTTTAATATCGCAGCCATTTTGTATGTTGATCAGTGTACCAGGAAACAGGAACAACGTGGTAAATGAAGAATGTAGTAAGTGTCCAAAAGTCGTTGACCACGGTGTCATTATTCAGTGTATGTCCTTGAATAGAACATGTGGAACGGGGATGACCCGAGCTCTTTTTATACGTTGCTGTATGCATTCATCTTCCACGTTTTGTCGATCAAAGGGGATTGTGCGAATTGTGTGAGTGTTTGATAATGTTGAATACATAACGTCTGTGGCTACTAAACAAACTGTACAAGAAAGGGACACATGGCATAAACAGTTTAAATACCCCTACAAATGTCTGATATGAGCAAACACTACGAACAGTTTTATTACTGTATATTACATTGCGATATCACAATATGCCACTTGATAATGCATGTAATGCAACTGACGTTCCCTGTGTTGAGCACTTTACTTATTTCTTATTTTGTTTACAATAACAATTGTGTTTCGTGTCTTAAGTTCATGACAGTCAGGTTCTACGTCCAGGTTTTTGTGTCTGCCTGCACTGTTATCTCAGACTAGAGTAAACTTAATGTCAACAAATGGTGTTAATTATTAATGATATAAACGACAGTAGTGGTTTATTCTCACTGTAGTGTTTAAATACACCAAAAACAACGACTAGGAACTCTTTATTTCTTACATGAGATACCAACATTTCATGATAGGACAATGCTTTATAGTGAAATATACCACGACTAGCTACTCTTTGTCCTTTGCGATTTATTCGGTTGCTGTAATACAGCATATTATGTGATATGCTTGCTGTTGGAGGAGAGTCAAGTGATGTTGTACAACAATAATGCATTGTCACATGCATGGAGACACCGAAAGATCCTTGCTGCCATGATGAAGAATATCAGCAAACCGCCCGGTGTCACCAGAACATGTCACATGTTGGTTATATCAAGTTCAAGGCTTGAAGAAATCCATGTCGAACCAGCAGACCTACAGATAATGTAAACAGTATGTCTTCAGCTTCACGTCTCTGTGATCCGTTCGTTTTGTCTGCAAGAGAAATGAAATATCAAGAAGTACCAATACAAATTGCCAATCAGGCATGAGTGAGTTATATACTACTTTGAAAAAGTATTCACTTGCAGACAGTCATATGACGCATGTCAGGTAGACGTGGGAGGACAGTGATCTGAAATATAACCTGCTTGAATATTATACAAATTGCGACTAAAAAAAAACCCCGTGATGTTCATATTTACATTTTGTGCCATGTATCAAAAATGCATTTTATAGTAGAACATGCCTTTGTAGCATCATTTTTTAACAACACATATCTATGGATATCTGAGGACGTGTCTGTATCTCGAGTATTAAATTTTGTTTGCTTACATTCCCCTCCTCCGTCTACATCCTCACATGCCCCTCCCCGTTGATGATGCTGCAGACACATCGTGTGGCATTCCTCCCTACATCCACAGCCGTCGTCCACCTGGAGACATCTCATACAGTCAGCCCCACAACCCGTATCACAGGTGTTTCCATAGTAACCAGGTATACAACCAGAGCATCTTCCACCACCTCTGTCACATGTCTTGTTGGCACAGGTGTCACTACATGGTCTAGTGCAGTCAGATCCCCAGTAGCCTGGCTTGCATCTGGAACATTCCCCAGTCTCTTGAGAACATGCCTCACAGTTACCAGGACACTTCATCTTGCAGTCGAGGGACATCCAGCCATCCACACAGCCCTGTCTGCAGACTGTAGACTTCATACCGTGGTCATAGAAACAGTCCTGATGTCTACAGTGTCTGTTACACTGCTTGTCACAGTGATGTCCGTGAACACCGTGTTTACATCCTTGTGTGCACTTGTGGCTGCCGTACCTCTCACATGTGTCACCATGACACCCCCCTGGACACCTGGTGTCACAACTGTCCCCGGCCCAACTATCCCTGCATCCTCTAGCACACGACCCGTCCCAGAAGTAGCAGGAGTTGTTTATGCATCTGTCACTGCATCTGTTTTCACACTTCTTTCCCCACCAGCCTTCTAGACAGTTTTCCTGACAGTGCCCTGTCTCCCGGCTACAGTATGGCTTATCACCGTGACTGTATCTACAGTTGGCGGGACAAGTTACTGTACAGTTGATGCCATGATAACCAGCGTTGCACTGTATACATATCCCGGTGTCCCTGTGACATCCGCCGATGTCGCAGTTGCCGGGACATTTGTAGTTGCAGTAGTCCCCATACCAGCCCATGTGACAGTCAATACAACGACCGTCGTCTGATGACCAGAAACAGTGGGGGTCAGCTGATGACTGACGCATGAAGAATACTGAAACAGATAAACTGGTATTGTTCACATTGGTTTGATGCATGGATTAATTTAGAGATTATTATTTTACATATAAAGGTATATAACTTATGCGACAGACATATTATGGAACAAATGTTACTCAGGGAACGATGTGCACATCATTTCCATACCCAATAAAGTATAAGTCTTTGTATTGTTGAAATTCTAAAGTCGTATTTCAATAAATGTAACATAATATAAGATTATTTTTTTTTTAGAATCACCTTAATTCGCCCAAGCGTGATATTTCGGATGTTTTTCATGGCGAATCACGGTCCAGATATAATGCAGTCTGTGTGCACATTATACCCTGTCATACCATCCTATCCTAACACAAGAATATGCTTGTCCTGTTTGTATAAATCCTTCCAAACCGTGTTGAATTATTTGATGAATTACTTTAATGACACTTAAATGGATTAAGTAAAAATATAAGTCCCTAATACTTACACAGTACCAATAGCGGGATTCTCGCCATTTCCATCTTGATAAAGCATCAACTGAAACTGAACATCAAGTGGAAGTGATTTCGTGACTTACCAACATGTATATGGGCGGCTGTTTGGGGGCGTTTGTTTCTGGGACTATTGTTTCCCGACTGACTGACTCGATGTGTTGTAGTATAGCCCTGAATCATGTATGTCATCGATGTCGTACTGCTGTGTCAAGTTTTCTTCCATCAATGATTGAATGTCTACGTCTTGATCATGGAGTCTATGGAGATGGTATTGTTATAATCGTAATCGATAATAAATGGTAATTTGTGTTTATGGAGTTATAATGTCTGGATGTGCATCCGTGCTAAATGCGCCCACGCCATCAAATTCTCTTCTGATGATGTAATCAAGGCCGAATTACGAACATGGCATCTTAAAATTAAAGTAAAAGAAACACGTGCTTAGTTGCACTTGATGACACCAGCAATAGAACACTAGTGTACGTATAGACTCGATGCATTATAACGGTTGCAGGGATGGAGACGAACACATGTGCATATACAAGGAATCAGGTAGAAATAATTGTCATTGTAATAAAGTGATTATCAATCGTAATATGGTAGGTAGTTTTAATCTTTCAGAATTGAAGACGAAGTTATGATACTGTAAATATCTTCATTGTATTTCGGGCAGAGAACAACTCACACATGAAATCATATCATGACTTAACAGTAATCTCCAGTTGTAATTACATCGTGATATCTTCTTATGCAGGATAGGCAGCATGAAAGCAGTTTGTAAAGCCCGCCTACTTACAGCAGTAGCCCTTTCAGTGTGCTAAAACTTTCTAAATGCATTTTCTGTATTCCTTTGACACTATGGGTTCCCTTTTGAAGGAGTCCCTTTTCATTCAAACACGTACATGGTCTTATCGGTCAGCGTCGCTCTCGGTTATATTTTGTTCAATGCATATCTTCAAAATGGACAAACAAACCATACTTATTTACACTTTTAAAAAAAGACATAAGAGATTTTATTGTTATCTCAAAAGCACCAAAGGAGAATACGAACGAAAACAAAACTTTTGATATATTGTAAAGGATATTCTAAAAGTCACATTCCGTGATTAAAATTGAACAAAAAGTTTGTAAAATAGCAATAAAAACACAAAAACGTACTCGTATTTCCGCCTATTACGGAAACACCCGACAGTTAATGAGCAGAGGGGTATCACGTGACATGACGTCATAAGTGCCTGTTGCTGATGGCTTCCTCTTTGATTTTACCTCACAACTTAACAGTGTCCGTGGATTCTGAAGCAGTAAAAGATGTTCCTGATGTCATTTCTGAAATGGATGTTAGACCGTATCAATACGATCCGATTTTACATCTTGCAAGACAATCTTCCACTGAAGATGAAGAAGAAGAATCAAGCGAAACGGAGGCACCGCTTGAGGTCAAAATAAATTTAAAATAGACCATATCATTTAACAAGATTACTATTTGTCAGCAAAATGTCATACAGTTCCAGCCAGCAAACTCACCCCTATAAATATATGACCAGTCACTAAGAATTATTTTAAAAAAATGTGATTACAGTTCATTTTGTGTCAAATGGGTGACTGTAGGGTGTCTGGGATTTAAAAACAAAATAATTATGCTTCAGACGAGGGAAAATAAAATTATCTGCTTCAAAAATTACACTGGAATTATTTTGTTGAAAAAATTAGGATCCTAGTTCTCATTAATAACGTATCAAGTCTCGATACAAGATCCCAGCCTGGTCGAGCAGAGATAATATTCGCGACGCAGATAAGTTATTCCCCGAAAACTGGTGAATTATAAAATACTAGTCAGGACAACCACTACTGACAAATAGCGAGTCTGATGCCGACGTGCGTAATTGGACACAATGGAAAATAATGAAAGCAACAAATACTTCATGATTTGCCTTTGTATTCGGCAATGTTTCGAGTTGACTGCATCATTTAGGGCTCCAAACCGAAAAGAACGTTATAGCGAAACATTTTCAAGCTCATGTGAAATATCTTACTGATTTTGATAATATATATCTCATGTGTACAACTCGAACTGCCCCAGCTACAAAATGCCCCAACAAATTTTGTCATTCATTCTAATTTGTTCAAATTTATTTATAATGATTGAATATATGCCGTAAATGCATAGTTTTTGTCAACTTATTATGATATTATGTTCTTCATATAAAAGTTATTAGGAAGTAATATATCTGATAAGTGAGTGAGCGAGAGCGAGCGAGCGAGTGAGTGAGTGAGTGAGTGAGTGAGTGAGTGAGAGGGAACCAAAAAGGAAAGGTGGAGAAAATATCTAAATGTATAACTCACCACCTTAAGGAAATCGTGATGTGACTCTTCAGGTAAGATTCACGCAGTGAGTGTTCGTTCACAGGGACAACAACTGGTGGTGTATACTACACGACACCACAAAGATGCTTTTAACGTGCACATTGTGCAAGACACGATCGTTGAATTAAATATTGCCTGAGGTTTAAAAGAAGTTGTCGACTCAATGTGTTCGACCTGCATATGTAACACACAGGGAAGTATTGACCTAAAATAGGAATGTCTTACATATAGTTCCGAAGGTATATAATGCGTGGTATTGTCCTATACATAATCATCTATTTCGCCACGTGTATGTGCTGATGTACACAGTAAGTATTGACTTTAGAAAGTGTCTATGTTTGTGATTGTCCACTTCTCGATCTGCACATTTTTTAACAACACAAAAGCATATTGAAGTGTATTAGTTACGGAGTGAGTTAAACTTTCGTTTTAAGCCGCACTCAGCTATATTCCAGCTATATGGCAACGGTCTGTAAATAATCGGGTCTTGACCAGACAATCCAGTGATCAACAGCATGAGTATCGATCCCCGCCTTTGGGATACGGTGACATGTGTCAACCAAGTCAGCGAGCCTGACCACCCGATCCCGATATTCGCCTCTTACGACTAGCAGGGGTTACTAAAGCTTAATTTTAACTCGGATCTTCATGTTTGGGAAGTGTATTAGACCTATTCGAAAGAATGTATTGTAAACATTTCGAAAGTATTTCATTTTTCTGAAACTAGACTTTTTGTACCCGAAACTTGCATGTCCTGTAATTGATAAGCTATAAATCTTAATAAGGGCCATACGTTAATATACAAATACGTTTGTGTCACCTGATATGTTGAAGTTCATCTGATTCGCCATGCATAAGTTAGGTATTTGTGATGTAAACACTTCCAAATAATGGGACTGAGGTGTTCTGTTCACTCCTCTATTTCTACTAACGTATTAATGACCAAGGATTGGAAGTCATCTAAATATTTATGAAAATCGCTCTTTTTAAGTAAGCCATATTCACTTCAAACTTAGTTCTTCTATCTCAATAGAAAAGAAACTGCACATACAATCAACACATGAGTTATGTTCTGAGACCATTATGCCTCCATATGTGAACTGTAAGTACATTTAACATGGACTCACAACCTGAATACACCTAAGTACGTGAATACATCAAAGGTTGGCAGCTCAGATTTCAACCCGCCAGTTCAGTACAGTTGCCCAGGGTGCTGTGGTACACAACGACCTAAGCGCTACTAGTTGTCGTTAGTCAATATAAAGTATGGGAGGTACGATCACCTTAGCGCTAAATCGCGTTGTACAAAGACACCCAGATATTAATACACATACACATAGGCATTAATTGTCTGAATAGTCTAACAGATATCGGATCATACCACCCGTTATGTAAACAACTTCTGTCGGCAATGCTGGGGTAAGCGTCGCTCCCGTACACACTACTGCATGTCCGGTTCTGGAACTTTTCCTCAAGCTAATCTACAACGGGTCGACAAAATTGAAGCAGCAAGTGTCTGCTCGGCTAGTCATTCACGCCAAGCGTCTGGCCAAGAATCTAGAGTGTGTTTTCATCAGGTGTCTAACTCGCATAAGTAATATACCCACCGTGATAATGTCCAGCGTGTGTACTTTACGAAGATGTGTTATGATAATTATTATAATCTATTATAATTCTTGTAATAGTAACCTCACACAAGCTAACTAAAAGCCATTTTGTTCATTGCACATTTGTACACAATAGGGCGTCCTTCAGTTTGAATCATTTTTAGTTTGTCCGGCTTAAGCACGCAGTTCACAGCACAAAATCATCAAAATAAAACAAGTGTTCAGTGTTCACACCGTGGACAATCCCAGTTCATACACATGTTCAACATCAACGCTTTTCTCAACATGGGAGATGTCTGAACCTATTGCTGTTAAGTATTTATTTACAGACATTGGCATACTTCTAGAATTTTCACAGCTGTCCATGTCCACATGTATTGTTTGAATACACCTTGACAGTTGTAAACCACCATTGGAATTGGAAATCGCACGATCTTCAGACAAACTGTCCAAATCAGAAGGCCATGCATCTCCATCCATCTTGCTGTTGCCAAAATGGGCAGCCATAGGATGATTATCTGCATCTCCTGAAGCAGCTCGTTCTGTTGGACTCTTTACTGGATGAAACCAATCATCTTCACGTCGTTTCTTGGGGATATCTGGTTTGGGGTGATACCTCATTGTATTAGATGCTCCACCCATGTCTCCAGTTTGTACAGATGCAGTTGACTGTGTAACTGTGTCTAGGTCAGTATCATGGATCTCCCAGTATTTATGAGGGACATCATAATCTCTGGATTCATTATTCAGCGTTCCATGTCTCGCCCTCACGTCCATGGTTGACGTATTCTGATTGCCAGTTGGTGGATTTGTCTCCGGTCTGAAATATAAGGTTAGGATTATTGCATACATATCCGTATGTCATTGATTTAACCGCTTACATTTGTTTGAGTCAAAAGTGTCTGCCGTTTATTTCAGTACACAGATGTTCAGTAACGATAACTTACCTCCTGTGGTGTCTGTTAGTGCACAGTCTGTGGAGGAACAACAAGACTCCTCCGAACAAGACAACTCCCAGGACCGAATACGTGATGAGGACGGTATTAGGGTCCAGTTTCTGTACATGTTCGGTGCCTAAATACAAATGAAATATT